CGCCGCCGCCCACGCCCCGCGACCGAAGCCTCGCGCCGTCAGCCCGCCGCGGTAAGCGCTCGGCGGTTCTGCGGCCCCCAGCCCGCAGTCGGGCCCGGGGCAGGCCCGCCCCCGACGCCGAGGCGACCGCGTCGAGCCTGCGAGAGCCAGAGCCAGAGCGCGGGCCGCCGGCACGGACCTCCCCCGGCTCCTCCCGAGGCCGCTGCCGCCGGGTGCGTCCGCTCCCCGGGCCCTCCCCCGGCGCGACGGCCCCCTACGCGGCCGTCCCTCCCGGGGGGTGGCCGCCCTCACCCCACGCCCCGCGCACCTGGCGCCCCTCCCTGAAGGGCACACCGTCCTCCGGACCAACCCGCCTCCTTTCCACCCCCGCGCTCCTAACGGTCGTCTCCTGCCCCTTTGAAGCTCGACCCAGGACCCCCGGCCTCCCCCGCGCCGCATCCTCCGCGGGGCCCGCCTGGAGGCCCCGACCCAAATGCCGGGCGCTCCCCAGAGATTCCTCAACGTGCCTCGGGGTTCTTGTCAGAGTTAGCCGGGCCCTGCGGGTTTAAAGTCCAAGCGTTGCACGACTGGCTAACATGGAAGCCTTTCCCCTTAACCGGAGCATCCTCTACCGGGTCTTCACCTGAATTTCCTTTCAGCCAGCAACATTAATGCTTGGTCATTGGGGTCTCCTCCTCTCGGTTGCCCAGCCGTGTTAAACACGTTAGTCTTTTTTTTTGTCGCCAGGTTTGGCCCTTCCCAGCCCAATTCCCCTGATGCAGCAGCTTCTTGGCCACGGCCTCTCACACTTTCCCTTTTTTTTTTTTTTTTGAGTTAACTTTAAGGAGACCTGCATGTCGCATCTCTAACCCAGGCGTTACTAGAATTCCTAGTGAACTTCCAGCTCTGATCCATCATAGCGCCCGTCCCTGGGAGATGCTAAATCAATACTTCTTGGCCTGTTCTTTCCTCTAGCCACCCCAGTCTTACCCTCCTCTTGCTGTACAGTACTGCTTTCCCAAAGATCATCAGCCTTTACACAACCTCTCCAACACCCCTTAGAGCTGACATGCCAGTTATAATTTTGCTGCCCACCAAGAGCCCCCTAATTTGCCTTTGCATCTGAAACACCGTGGGTACAACAGGCGGGTCCCCTTTGCTGCTCGCAGTGTGGGAGTTTGCTCTCTGGCTTCTTGATCTGTACTGTCCCCTGTGCAGTAGTCCCAGGTCGCCAACCCTCACTCCAGCTCGTTTTATTTCCTACATTGTACGTATAGCATGTCATTGGGAAAGGTTGGGGCAGACCTGTACTTTGTGTTGCCGTCGCTGGGGACCAGGGGCCTCAAGGGTCCCCTGTGGTAATTACAGTGAAGTGAGTTGTGTTCTTAGACCCCTGGCCTGGCTTTTTCAGCCAGTGGACGCATTAGTATTGTGTGTCATTTGATGGATTAAAAGATCCCAGTTTGTCCTCGCTTTTATTTCTGTGGTTGGAATTTGGAGTAGAGCTGAGAAGGTAAAAAGAGGCACCTATGTGAAGGATTTTAAAATTTCTCTAATGAGAAATAAAAAATGGCTTAAAACTCACAAAATATGCTTGAGAGTTTGGAATGGTTCTTGCTGCTTATGTGCCCCTTCTTCAGTCTGGATAGAGCGTCTAGGGACGTTGGGGTCCCCTGCCATTGCAGCTGCAGCCTCCCTTGCTTTCCCTGGCTGGAACCCAAGACTGGGAAGTGGGCAAAAGGTATCAAATGAGGTAAAGTGTGGAATTGCTTTGAAAACTGTTAACTAATAGACATGCTGAAGGGCAGAATTTCTCAGGATGTCTCAGAGGAGAGAGCTGGGATAGCTGACCACCCGAGAGGAATGTGGGCTTGCACCCCTTTTTAAGCCTCAGAGTTCTCATTCTACCATGCTGGGAGAATCTTTCCATCCTGTGAAAGGGCGGAGTCATCTCCAGCAGGCTTGGAGCTGGGCGATTGCTCAAATGTTGGGGAATTTGGGATTCTACTTATGTTAATAGTGGTACCTTTCTGTGCCAAGGCACATTGCTCTAGTTTGGGGCTAATTTTAGGGGTGATGGAATGAGGAAATAATGTTTTTAACTTAGTGTGTTCTGGGACCGCCTAGTCTCTGAATCTTTGCCTTATGTGAGTTCCGAACCCCAGAGAACAGGCTCCTCTCTTGTTCCCTCAAGCCTGTTGTGAGCACCCAGGACCAGTGTGTGTCCTTTCCCCTTGTTTCCGGCAGGGGGCAGCCTTTTAATAGCAATAATTCAGATGCCAGGGGAGTGAGGGTATGCTGAGGCCCGAGAAAGAGGAACCAGTAGATGAGGCAAGCAGACTCGGAGGGTAGGGCAAGAGGTGGGGGCTAAGCTGGAATGAGCATGTGAGGAGACCATTAGATCAAGTAGTCAGGAAAGGCTGTGTCGCCAGTCACTCTCTCTGCCCCCTTTCCCGCTCTTTATTTCACTGGAAAGGGATCCAAATGCTTGCCTTTGAGAGTTTGTGATAGAGAAACTTAGGACAGTTTCTTTCAATTTAGTCTTTTCCCAAGGATTTCCCTCTTGGCAGAATTTCAGATTTCTCTCATGGGACAGAATAATTAGAGAATAATTTCCTTGCTCTTCAGAGGGCAGAATGAACTGCAGTAAATTTGGTTTATTTTCTGTTCTTCCCCATAAACAGAATAGGATTACCTGTGTTTATGGCATAGAGGAGGGTTTCTCAACTGTGGCACTAGTGACATTTTGAGCCAGATCATTCTCTGTTGTGGGGGCTGTCCTGTGTATTGTGGGATGTTTAGCAGCTTTCCTGGCCTCTATCCACTAGATGCCAGTAGTAATTTCTAGTCATGTCAACCAAAAATGTCTCCAGATTTTGCCAAATGTCCCCTGGGGAGCAGAGGTTCCCCCACTCCACCCTACTTGAGAACTGCTGGCTTCAAGGAAGTATGTGGAAAAGACACACACCTGCTTGGAGGAGTGGGAACCATGGGAGGCATGCATGCTGCTTGTCGAGGAAGGGCCAGTCAGCCATCAGCTTTGGGACCAATCCTTCTCTGACTGAGCCTGCCAGGAGACTTGGCCTTTTTCTCCAGCTGCACCTGTGCTTCCTTTCTCCCCTGACTGCCTCTCCCTTTGCCTCTGCAGTTTCCTTGCTTTTCACACTGGAAGCCGCTTTTCCTCATTTTGCTCCTTACAACCAGGACAGAAAGGTGAAGGCCAGACGTGGAAAGCACCAAGGAGAGCCACTTTTGCCACTCCCTGGCAGGGTGGGAGGGTGAGTTGTCCCTTTCCTGTTCCCCCCTCCCCACAACAGCCTTCCATGCTACAGGACTCCTCTGTTCCTCTAGAAGATGGGCTTTTCTGGAGTGAACTGGAGAAGGCTCAAAACAGCCTCTCCTGAGTTTTGTTTGAAGAATGTGGGGTGTTTTTTTGGAATGGGGAAGGCTTAGGTATGTAATAGCTGTCTCCAAATGCCTTTTTTTCCGCCTAAACCTTTTTTTAATGGTGGTAAAATGTAACATATACCATTTTAACCATTTGTAACTTTACAGTTCTGCAACATTAAAGACATTCACATTGTTCAACCATCACCACCATCCTTTCCAGCCAGAGCTGTTTCATTTGCCCCATTTCAGCTGAAACTCTGTATCCATTAAACAACTCCCTACTTCTCTTGCCCCATAGCCCTGGCACCCACCATTCTACTTTCTTGTCTCTTTGAATTTGACTCCTCTAGTAATCTCATATAAGAGGAATCATACAATATCTGTTCTTGTGTGACTGGCTTGTTTCACTTAGCATAATGTCTTCAAGTTTCAGCCATTGGCCAAATTACATAAAGTAGTGTAGAAAGAATTAACCTTACTCTACTATCCTGGGAGTCCTACTTGAATTCCCTGAAAGGAAGAGCTTTTCAACAGACTTGTCTTCTGACAGCTGTGTGTGCTGGATTGTGCTTCATCACTAGGAATGTCCAGCTAGGTCTGTTGTAGAAGAGATGCCTGTGCTGGGGGAGGTCAGCCCTATTCTAACTGGTCTCAGAAGCTATGTTTCACCCTAGAGTGCTGGGAGACTCTGGGAGCGGGTGCTTTATCTGTCCTGGAGTTTTGTATCATCTTCCAGCCTGCAGCTGTAGGTGAGAGAGAGACTCTCCGTTGGCCCCTCTGGTGGATACCCTTCTTCTTCCTTCCCAGAGTTGAGGAGTCTTGGAGTTGATGGGCATCGTGGAGGCGCTTTGGTCCAGCCTCCCTCCCAGCCACTGAGGGAACTCTTGCACAGCCCCTTGAGACCCTGCCTGCCCCGCCTCTGCTCGGAACCTCCAGGGATGAGCTGCCTCCTGAGAATCTCCTCTGCTGATCCTTAGAGGGACAGGTCACTGCCACCACTTCCGCTTCTGTCAGCCTTAGTAACTCTGACCTTATTTCTACTTTATGGTGAGGGGCCTTCTTCCTAGCTTGTATCCTAATAACGGTGTTCCCTTCTTGTCACTTTGTACTTGTGCTTGGGGTCTTCTGGATCCCGGGGAAGGGGCCTGGGTGTTGGTTCCTGTTAGGTAAACCAGTCCATGGGTGTGCTGGCTGGACTCACCTGCCTGCAGCCTTCAGTGTGTGCACCACCTTTGGCTCTGGAATGTTATTGCGTTCCCATCCTTATTCCCTGTGAACTGCGTTTCTCTCAAAACTGAGTCTCTGGATTCTAGCCACCAATAGCCAGTTCTGAGATTTTTCAGGAGGGAAGTAATTTTTTTCCCAGATTAATTTCTAATCCTTCTCTCTATAACCTTTTTTCTCTGAAATATTTGTGGTTCCAGTGGTTTGTTTTTTGTTTTTGTTTTTGGTTGGTTGGTTGTTTTTGTTTTATCTTTGTCCTGAACGTCCATGCAAACCTTAACCACCCCCTTAACTGAATGCTCTGCCACTCAGCAAAGAGTGCTGAGTCCCAGAGAGGTACCTGGTGTGTTCTCTGTTACACCTCCAGCACCTCAGTCATGCTTTGCTGAGTGAATAAACTGCTCGTGAGGCCAAACATGGGGGACAGAGATGAAGAGGAGCAGGGGCTATGGTCCCTATTATACAAGACAGAGGAGGGCTGGAAGCAGGGAGACCTGTCTGAACCATAAATTTAACTCACCATCTTTCCCTCACCTCTTGTTAAGGGTCTTACCCCAATGTAAAGGTCCTTCCCTGGGTACCACTGCGGTCATACCAGCGTCCAGTAGCTTGGGGACCCTGATTCACTCCAGCATAGGCCCCGGCCTGAAGAGAGTCAGGCCCCACTCTAACTGCTTCCTGGGGTAAGGCTGCCAGGTGAGTCTGGGGTGAGGGAGGGCACCCCTGCAGAAGCTAAAAGGGGCTCTAGCTGCCTTGTTTCCTTCCTCCCTCAGGTCTTCTCTCTCTGGTTAACTCTTTGGTTAACTCATGGTGTGAGTGGCACGTGGGTGGTTTAGGTGAGTCCTTTAAGAGCCTGTTACTGTGCCTGCCAAGGTGGGGCTCTGTTCCTCGTCCTCTTGGGATTGTTTGGGTGTGTTGTTTCTAAGCCCAGTGTCCCCCATGTCTCCACAGGTGTTTGGAGAGTGAACACCAGGTCCCCTCGCCCCTGCTCATCTCCTCCGACCTCTAGGACACACCCAGCTTCACAATGGCAGCAGAGACCCTCAACTTTGGGCCTGAGTGGTGAGTCAGATGTGCTGTGGGTTTCATGGGGAAGCTGGGAAGAATAGGGTTGCTTAGACTCCTGTCGTTCTCCTTCCCCGTGTCCTTTTTCTAGGCTGAGGGCACTTTCAAGCGGTGGCAGTGTAGCCTCCCCGCCCCCATCCCCCGCCATGCCCAAATATAAGCTGGCTGACTATCGTTATGGGCGAGAGGAGATGCTGGCTCTCTACGTCAAGGAGAACAAGGTAGGGTGTGGGGTGGGGCAGAGCAGGGTGGGGGTGTGGCTCAGTTGCCCCTGTGGCCTCGGCCAGAGGAGAGGGCCCAGAAACATGTGGTATCTTGGTCCTCCTGCTCCATTGACAGGTCCCCGATGAGCTACAGGACAAGGAATTCGCTGCAGTGCTACAGGAAGAGCCGCTGCAGCCCCTGGCACTGGAGCCTCTGACCGAGGAGGAGCAGGTGGGGCCGGGCCAGGGCAGCTGCAGGCTGGGGTGCTGGGGCTCCACCTTTGTGGGGGCTGGAGTTGGGAAGACAGGTGGAGGAGGTTGCAGTTCTGGAGAGGGTGGGGGTGGTTAGGTGCCTGGGTCCTCACTCCCACCCCTGGCTCCCTCCTCAGAGAAACTTCTCCCTGTCAGTGAACAGTGTGGCTGTGCTGAGGCTGATGGGGAAAGGGGCTGGCCCCCCCCCAGGCGGCGCCTCCCGTGGCAGGGGCAGCACGCGGAGCCGAGGTAGGGGGGTAATAATGTGTTGTGGGGACAGCAGAGGTGGGGCCTGTGGTCTTGAGGATGTGCAGAGATGATCTGGCATATTTTCCGTGTACATCTCATTCCTTCTCCAGGCCGTGGCCGTGGTGACAGTTGCTTTTACCAAAGAAGCATTGAAGAAGGCGATGGGGCCTTTGGTCGAAACCCCCGGGAGATCCAGCGTAGCCAGAGTTGGGATGACAGGTGCAGGCTGGAAGGAGGTGGCATAGAGGCAGAGCAGAGAGAAGCCCTGGTGTTAGATCCTGAGTCCCATGGAGGAGGTTTAGGTTTTGTCATTAGAGGGCAACAGAAGACCTACTAGATGAGCCCTGGTCAGAGATCGTTCTCTCTGCCCTCTGACCCCTGCGACCCTGCCCTTTCTTTCTGATTCTCTTAGTCCCTGTTTGCCCTGTGACTTCTGTGTGCTCCCTTGGGCTCCCTCCCAAGCCTGACTTTTCCCTAGTCCCCCGTCCCCTCCCTCCCTTCACCTTTCTCAGGGCAGAGATCCTACAGGTTGGGGAGGGAATGCTGTCCTCCTTTGACCAATACCTGTCTCTCCTGCAGAGGCGAGAGGCGGTTTGAGAAGTCGGCCAGGAGGGATGGAGGTATGGATAGTGGTGAGGTGGTGCCAGACCCTGAAGGTCATTGAGAGGTGGAGGGGAGACTAAAATGGGTGGCCCCAGTGAGGGGGATGTTTCCTGAGGAGGGTAGGGGAGGAGTAGGGCTCAGGGCTGGGCTCCTTTTCACCAGCGAGGTTTATAGTAAGTCTTCCAGGGACCATGGCTGCCACTCTGCTGACTGTGTCTTTCCCCATTCCCAAGCACGATCCGGATTTGAGGAGGGAGGGGCTGGCCCAAGGAAAGAACATGCCCGCTCAGATAGCGAGAACTGGCGTTCTCTCCGGGAGGAGCAAGAGGAGGAGGAGGAGGGCAGCTGGAGACTTGGGGCAGGACCCCGGCGAGATGGCGACCGCTGGCGCTCAGCCAGCCCTGGTGAGATTGGGGCCAAATGGGCTTTGGGGGGTGTGGGGGTGGGGCAGAAAGAACTTGCCGGGCACGGGGCTCCTGTGGCCAGGTGGAGGGAGCCAAAAGTTTTCTGGAGTGGGGTGGGTTGGGTTGCTGTCTTGGAAATCCTGAGGGTCTTTTGGGCAGCAGAAGAGTGGAGCCTCTGGCTGATTCTCCTCCGACTTTTCCTACCCAGATGGCGGCCCCCGCTCTGCTGGCTGGCGGGAACATGGGGACCGGCGTCGCAAGTTTGAGTTTGATTTGCGAGGGGATCGAGGAGGGTGTGGTGAAGAGGAGGGGCGGGTGACAGATGATTTAGTT